GCCAACCTTCAGAATTCCACATGGGTTGCAGTTTACTGCTCTGGTGCAGATATTTGTGGATACATAACAAACATTTCTCTGCTACCTGGAGAACACCAACTCTATCATGCAGATGTCTCATCGCAAATTGGTGTGTCTGCGTATGGTTTCAACCCTTCTAACTCATATGGATACCCTGGAGGATTGCAACTGGAGCCAGTTCAGTGTAAGCTCCCATAATAATCTCGTTACCTTCACTACTAAACAGGTGGCAAAGACGAAATAATTTATGCATTTAACCGAACATAGCTAAGCCTTTACCAATTTTTATCTCTTTGGTTTGGTTACAGTGGCAACCATCAGTTTCTCGCAGTCAGAGTTTACAGTGCTTGAAAACGAAGAGTTTGCAAGAGTGGAACTTGTGCGATCCAGTGACATTCAAGGGAGGCAGTTGTCCTCATTGGAAGTGACCCTTACAAGGGGGACGCAGCTGGTAATGAGATTTTACTATAATACTGTTTTATCAGATACTCATACCTATTGTCATGCTTCTGGTGCAATCTCTGCAGTGAGGAGTGACTACACGCCAATAATTGAAATTCTGACATTTCTCCCTCACGAACTAACAAAGAGAGTCCATATTGTAATAAACGATGACACCAATGTCGAGTTTGATGAACGTTTTTTTCTTTATCTCGTAAGTGGAGAAGGAGTCCATCTCTCTCCATTTCAAAGAGCTAAAGTTGTCATTAGGAATGATGATGGTAAGCATATCTGGTGAATACGCATGTTCTGTTAGCTACTAACTCTCTCTGATAATCGTTCCAGGCAAAATTACTCTCACACCTCGATATGGAAGTGAAATTGGGGGCACCCCCATCATTGTAACAGCGGATAAACTTGAAGCATTTGAAGAAGATAATGTCACTTGTGTGTTTGATGGAATTAAAACTGATGGATTCGTTACAAAAGATGGACTGGTATTTTGTGTTTCGCCCGAGTTGAGAAGAACTGGAAGAGTGCCATTTGAGCTTCATATTGAGGGAGATAAAAATTCTTTTACTGGATTTGCCAAATTTATATCAGGTTCGGTACTAAACTAAGTATATTATATAGCCTTGACAAGGTTTATGGAGCAAACCCTTGTTGGCGAGGGAAGTGAGCCTGTCTAGTCGTTTCAATGCGGGAATTTTCTAATCATATGTGACAGGCACTGCACAGGCACTTGCATAATTATAGTAATGTTCTGCGCGATTCTAAACACACGCAAAACACACAAGAAATATTGAACTGCTCGCACTCGCTCGCCAAGAATGCCTGGCGTTCGTTGTGGTAGCTACATTTCTTTTCTCAATGGACCAATCATAAGGATTCCACAAATGTTACACCTAACACTACGTTTTCTAACATTTTCATTAGTAACTAATTAAGGAATGAGTACGTAAAGAGCATCTATTGGTTCTTATGCTCCACTCAATTAAAAAGTACTTCTGGTAGAGGCAAACTCTTGGTGGGCAATTTTCATAGTATTGGTGTCTCTAACCAAACCCAGGGTGCCCCTGCTGCGTTCTATAATAATTATTGTAATGTGTGACAGGGGACATAAGTTTTCTTAGGTTGTTTGGTGTTTTTCATAGCGATAACCCTGTGGAAAAAATCTACTCTTTTTTTAGTTTCCCATGACAAAGTTGCTGGAGTAATGGTTGAGAATGGCCCTGTTGTAGCAACTGGTGACATGGTTAGACTTAGCTGGTCACGTGAAGCTATTCTACCCACTGAACCACATGATAGCTACAACATCAACGTTATGCTCCGCGAGTATGATCAAGAGTCAGGTGAATGGATTGACACTGAATTGGCCAAGGAGATGCCCAACTCTGGGTCCATTGAGATTGCTGTTCCAGAGCGTGCTCCAAAGAATGATAATGAATCTGCAGCCCCTGCTGTTTTTCAGATTGAAGTAAGTGAATCGAGTACTGACACCCAGATTCAAAAGCGTGGACTTTTCTCCGCAATCGCCAAAGCTGTTAAAAAGGCTGTCAAATTTGTCACAAAAGTCGTGTCAGTTGTATTATCTCTTGTACTTGAACCTGCACGTCGATTGCTCTGTGAAGCATGGGGGCTGATAGAGTCAAGAGAAAGATCACAGCAAATACTGTCGGAGCTTCCCCCTTGTCCATGCACAGTGGCGGAAATAGACACACGTGGAGATGGCTTTGAACTAGAAGATAGAAGTATCTCGTCAATTTTTCATCCCGGTAGTGACAAATGCTTTCGCCAAAGAAGACCGTAAGTTAATACACCTTACACAACCCAATGTAAGTACAAGTAGCAAGTGAATACTGTGAGGACTGTGTAACCACTCCTTATTTTATTCTTGTCAAAATTGACTGTTATGGTCACTGTTATGTGCATGAATTTAAAAAGCAAGGTTCGACCATAAACAAAAAAAATTGTAGCTAATTTGCTGAATAATCATGTCTAAAAATGTAAATACAAGTAGCAAGTGAGTAATTAATGTGTTGAGGACTGTGTAACAACCCCTTTATTTTGACCATGAACAAACAAATTGTGGCTAATTTACTGATCAAAACTATAAGCAAAGGCTTAGAGCCAGCCTACATGAATAATCATTTATAAAAACAGGTCCACGACAGCTGGACAGCAATGCTGCTATGACGACGCTGGTGACATTATTGTGGGGCAAGTCGCTGGAGGAACTGTTGATTTTATTGCTCCAAAAGACATCAAGACAACCATCGGTCATTTCATTGTCGATGTCGTGCCACACTTCTTCTGCTGTACAAACTCTTTTCTCAGTAACTGTGAAAAGTATTATCGATATCGTCCCTCAGATGACTGCTCACGTACACGTCCACAACAACCAGGTAAGAAAGTTTATTTGCTTGACATTGTCGGGAATCAAACTCAGTCACTATGCTTTGAAGTGCAGTGCTCTACTCACTGAGTTATAACTCCCATACAAAAGTTGGTCTTCCTCATTACATACTGCATGTGGTCGGTTGCCTCTCTGGCAATGTCGCACTTGGAGCTACTGTGCCATTTGTTGCTAGAATCCTGCTAGGTTTCAACTACACCTCGACATCAGTACTTTATGTGTTTCTGCGAAACTGCGATAACTAGAAGAATTGTATTTATTCCTCTCTCTGCAGCATTTGCGAGGGGAGATCCTCACCTGGTAACACTGGATGGACTACGGTACACATTCAACGGTCGTGGAGAATTCACTCTTATTGAAACACAAGGAGACATGTTCACACTGCAAGGCCGTATGACACTAGCCAAAGGTGTCAACAACATGCACTAGCTGCCACAGTCTTCTCAGCCATTGCTGCCAAGGACAATGATTCTGACACTGTTCAGTTCGAAGTTGATGAAAATAACACACTGATTGCAATCGTTTCCAGAGAACTCATAGTGTTTGATCTTGCAGAACAAGAGTTCGAGAAAGTGACAGTGCAACATCTCGGCAAAATTCTATTGAAGCTCTGTTTGCCAGTGGAGCATATGTAGTAGCTGGGGCAGAGAATGGGTTTATCGCAACCCTCCAGGTGATCCTGCCGGAAGCCTACTCTGGCCAGTCCAGGGACTACTGGGGACGTACAATGGAGACGTATCAGACGACCTACTGCCTCAGTTTGGTGACAGACCACTACCTCCTGACTCGAGCATGGAAGACATTCACAACAAGTTTGGAGTAACATGTGAGTTGATACATAAAAAATTGACTTGGATTTAAACATTTCATGGGTTAGTGAAAAGTCTACCCAGCCATTCCTGCACTATAGTCTGCACTGAATATTAAATTTATGCTAGGGGGTAGGTGACAATGAGTCTTAAGCCTAGCTTTCATCTGTGCTGCAGAAACCTACCGGAAGTGATAGTAACAATGATGCTCTTACTGCTACAGTCATTCATGTACACACAAACTTAAAAGGAATGTGTCAGTACATAAGGGCTAAAAATACAACTAAACAATAGGACCCAGTGTAATTAAGTTTCCATTTTCAGCAGTAAATTTAGCCCTTATATACTGCCACATTCCTTATAAATTCCATGTAGGGATTGTGGACAGTGCTACCAAGAGCCTGTTTGTGTACCAGCCAGAACATAACTGGGACTCCTTCTATGATCCTTACTTCGTTCCATCTTTCGAGCCAAATTTCAGTGACCCAACTCTAGAGTCAAAAGCAAATGAAATCTGTGGTGACGACAGCTCTTGTCTCTTTGACATTGCTGCTACCGGAAACATTGATGTGGGAATTTCAACTCTTGAAAGTTCAAAGATCATAGACGAAATTTACACTTTCCTACTTCCAGGTTTGAATAATTGAGGATTGATTCAATATAGCCCCTTTCATTGTGTCTGTAACAACATTACTATAGTTGTGTGCAGTCCTGGCTGTGAGTTTGGAGCCTGTGTTGCTAATGACACATGCAAGTGCTCAGAAGGATACGCAGGGAAATCATGCTCTGAAAAAGGTAGGTACGCTAATGGTGACCCAAGCATATATCCATTTGCCCAGTCCTGAGCTATTGCCCAGTTAGGTTTCTCAAGGAAAAACTGATAACAATACACCTTCTGGCTAAACATTACTTTTCTAGTTAATACTTACAATATTATCTAAAGGGAATAAGAATAGATCAAACCTTATAGCCACTAATCCCAATATATTTCATGGAGTCTGTTCCTTCTTAGCTACTTCATTTAAGACTAAGTCTTGAGTCACGAAATTTTTGTTGGTTACTCAGCTAATATACTTTGTGTGCTCTACAGTTGTGCAGACTTGTGAGGAGAACATCTGTGAAAATGGCGGCAGTTGCACGAGGCACGTGAACGACTACACATGTATGTGTTCTCCTGGTTTCAGTGGCTTTCTCTGCGAGGAAGGTATGCCATTTACACCTGTTTGTCAGCCGCAAAAACTTAACCACTCTTTAGGTGTGTAGTTTTTTACAAAGCTCATACATTATAGCCTGCTGCATCTCAATGTTGACAGCTTTAGGTGAAAGCGACAATGACGAATCTGGGAATACTGGAACAGTGGTTGGAGTTAGTGTGGTGATAGTCTTACTGGCTCTCATCTCTATGACCGTTGTGGTGGTGATAGTCCTGCGAAGAGCCCGTCAGAAGCGAAGGGGCGGTATATACCACATAAATCTGAGGAATTGTAAGCAAACATTACTTTCTCACACAAGCCTTAATGTATCTTCCTTTCATTTCTAGTGACATGCGGCAACCTGAATTGTCTACATCTAAAGAACAAAAATAAAAAGGAGGAACAAGAAACTGCTAGAACTTGTAAAAGTAGTTGTAAAAAACACTTTTATTATCATAGCATGTTGATTATTTGTTCGTAGACTTATTACTACATATTTTATACTGTTATTTCCCTTACATGAGTGTCTCTGACCATCACTGTAACAATTCACCGTAGCCACCACAACTTACGGCAACAGTTTGATCAGACTCTAAGAGAGGGTGAATGTAACTTGATATATACAAGAGTGGAAAGGGGCTGGATAAAATGTGGGTCCACGCATCAGCACAAGGACTAAAAATATTTTACTGATACTAAAACTTTTCCCGCGGCTCAGAAACCCAACCTTACCAGCATTGCATGCCTTGGAGAATCGACATCTGTGAAGCTGTAGAAGACCTGTTTTGATCTGTGCCGTTTTTCTCGGACTGGCAATGGATGTGGATACCAAACGTGCCCTGACACAACTTGTAGTTGAGATCAAGTTGACTCTTGGGATCCATTGCTTGCACAGTACGTCCTGGGTTTCCTTAGAAAGAAAGCTGGGCACAAGGTATTATTTATAGCTACAGCGCGCATGCTCAACCGTGCATCCGATGGAAGGGCTAGCTGGTTTTCTCTCTCTCATCTCTCTTTAGATATTGACATAGATGTTCTAGTTGAGCGACTGCCTTCTTGCCTTGCAAACAATGAGAACAATCCCGGTGTTTTGATCCGCTCCCATTGATAACATTACTAAAAACGTGAGCATAAAACATTTTCTAGCAAACACGTGGCTACCTACACACATAAATACAAAAATACATAATTATTGTGAGAGAAGGCAGGGCCACCTCGCAGCAGGTCAAAGGGTCCCTCCACCAACTGGGGTTGTCAGACTCCCCTTCACCTCAATGGCATTAGTGGACAGAGAGCGGGCAGTCTGGCGGACCACGGCATTACATCTCGACGCTGCAAGGCTCGGAGGGACATGCCGGGAGAGGCCGGGGCTCGAGGAGTGTCTGGAGGGGGCGGGGCTAGTGGGAGGGGTGGAGGGGAACCGGAGAGTGAGGGCCTTGTGGCGACAGAAAGACACGGCGGGAACAACTGGACCGTGCACATCGTCAAAGATTATTCCCAGGGGTTTCCCGTTGCGGTAGAAGGACATGTGTTGGGAGAGATCCAATAAGACTCCCACAGCATCTCCCTCCCTGAACAGGTTGTGTTTGCGACCGAGGGAGTTGAAGAAGGTGCTAGCTACCATGAGCAAGTTTCTTTGCCGTCCCGCAGGCGAGGAGGCCCCACGAACGGTTCCCAATGGGACACGTCTTTATCCCTATGACTCCGTGTGACCTGCAACCACATAAGAAATCATGCAGTAGAACCTCGTTAATTAAAAGGTGTTGGGTATATTTTACTAGCACAAGAGCCACTGCCTTCTGCAGAATGAAACCTGGTCATTCTGCACTGCACGATATGGCACAACGGCCTTAAAGAAATGAAAAGCACTAAAGTGCAAACCCTCGGCGAAATGCGCATGCGCGATACTGCAAATTGATGGGCTGGGCCGGCTATTTGTATGCGTTTACTCGTGGTCTTCCGCTAGTAGCCGGCGGAGAGTCAGACACGGGCTAGCTACAGTAGTAGATAGCATGCGGGAGTCGATACATGCCATTCGTTGTGACTTCCTGAGCCCCCAAGGTGCACAGAGCGAGCGGATCAGGTCGCGGTAAGCCAGTGCCATTTGGCTTTTTCGCTTGTTTTCACGGCATATCTCTCGAACGAAGTCGTTTCAGGAATAATTTTTCAGGCTCCCGTAGTTCTGAATCCGCTGGTATCACTAATGGGCCGCCTCGAAGCCTGTAGTGCCAGAATAAGCGTCGACACACAGACAGACAGACAGACAGACAAACCAACTACCGTAACCCTCGCTGCGCATGCGCGCCGAGGGTTAACAAGAGCACCTAGTTCAAAATACAAAACACATGGGAAATGTAAGTCTGCAAGTGCTGGGCACGGACAAAAAACACATGAGAGTTAGACACACACAGTACCTGTGCCACTGGTGGAACCCGGCAGTGACGACACCAATGACAGCCTTCCTGGACAGAGAGGGTGCTCCGTATTTCTCCAGGACCACCTCCCAGTAGTGGCAGCCATGGGAGAGGACGGTGTTGGCACCCACACTCACCCAGGTGGCGTTCTCCCCAATACTGACTGTGTAGCCTCCATTGGTGATGTGGGCTCTCCGGTGACGCTGGTTAGGATCCCACAGGAAACCTGGATGTATCAGAACCATGGTTGGCTCCTTGTTTGGTCAAATAGGTTATGGGTTCCTTACCATTGCATGCATGAGATCATATTGCTGGATGAATTGTATGTGAGGTACATACGAAAGCAAAGCAAGTGCAAAGCTAACGAAACCTAGTACTTCTTTTACAAGGTGTAGGCAGCAGCACCCATCGTGCCGGTACTTTTTGTAACACTCTAGGAGCAAGCAACAAGGTTTCAATATTTATTTTAAGTCTGGTTTCAGTCCAATTCTGCATTCAGACAGCTCAGTGGGCTGCTAGACGGGCTCTGCTAGGTGGGCTCTGCTAGGTGGGCTCGGCTAGGTGGGCTGGGCTAGTGGGCTCTGCTATGTGGGCTCTGCTATGTGGGCTCTGGTAGGTGGGCTCTGCTTGGTGGGCTCTGCTAGGTGGGCTCTGCTTGGTGGGCTCTGCTAGGTGGGCTCGGCTAGGTGGACTCGGCTAGGTGGGCTCTGCTAGGTGTGCTCTGCTAGGTGGGCTCCGCTAGGTGGGCTCTGCTAGGTGTGATCTGCTAGGTGGGCTCGGCTAGGTGGGCTCTGCTAGGTGGGCTCTGCTAGGTGGGCTCTGCTAGGTGTGCTCTGCTACGTGGGCTCTGGTAGGTGGGCTCTGCTACGTGGGCTCTGCTACGTGGGCTCTGGTAGGTGGGCTCTGGTAGTGGGCTCTGCTAGGTGGGCTCTGCTAGGTGGGCTCTGCTAGGTGTGCTCTGCTAGGTGGGCTCTGCTAGGTGGGCTCTGCTAGGTGGGCTCTGCTAGGTGGGCTCTGCTAGGTGGGCTCTGCTAGGCGGGCTCGCTTCCGTTGCCAATTATAATGTACCAGAAAACATTGCAAGGCTCACAAGCTTTCTTCTTGGTATAGCTGACTGAGACACTGTATGGCGATGCCCACGGCATTCACAGCAGCCACTCTGAAATAGTAGATGACATCTTTGTCGGTGGCAACTCCATCAGCATCATACTCGATCTGGTGGCCTTCATAAACCACTCTGTGTGTGTGGGGGCAGTGTGGGGAGGAAGAACGTCACATAATTATTATAGGGTAATACATAAGCATTACATTCTCCATATTAAATCAAGGTTGGCTGGCCAGTCCATCTCCTCTCTGCGTCAAGAGCTCATGACTAAAAGAAATGCAAAACGTTTGGGTGAGCAAAGTGACTTCACCCGCTGTACATGATGTTCTCACAGGCACATGTTCATAGCGCAGGGTCGGTCACCATTCGTTACATTGTACAACTGGAAAACAACGCAATACAGACAAATAAGTGGGCCCGCTTTGCTTGCTAATAGGTCCATCTTCTATACTATAATTTCACAAGTCATTAGCGAGGATAAGATGCATTTTATACACTCAAGAGCTGTATCTGTGTCAGCGCTACCACACTTACATTACTCTCAACAGCTAATATCATGTGATTGTGTATAGTGTGTATGCTGACGACGCGAGACATACTTCAAAGTTTTGACCGATTTATTTGTAGTCATTACAAGCAGTTTGCGAGATTGTGTGTAGTAATGCAAGAGGTCTCGGTTATTACGTTATATCACATGCACACACGTGAGTTGTGGTGAATGGTCTATAGCTACACTGCTTAATTCTTGTTTGACAATGGTGCAGTAAAAATAAACTCTAACAACACTCTTTGATAACGTAGAATGATCACACACGTGTAACACTATCAGTTAATTATAAAGGTGCATGTAGCTAGCTAGCAGTGGAGTAATGAGTAAATTAAGTTCCATACGTTGGCAGTGAATGGACAAGGATCGGCATTTTCTCGTCATTTCCATCGTCAGTATTTTCTGAACTCTGTCTCCGAAGTGATGCCTCTTCATACACCTCCCAGTTCTCCTCAACCCCGCTGCCAACACCACCCTGTTTCACAATCTTCCTCCATGGCAAGGTGAAAACTATTGGAAGTCGATACTTGATCAGAACGTACAGGCGGTACAGTACTAAACAACCAAGTTGAAAAGTAGCAGCAGCCGTGAAAATGTAGTCAATCACGGTTTGTCCGCTGTAGAGTTTGGCCAGTGAGTAAACGGCAAGATTTGAGACAATTGTGACTTCATAAGCAGACACGTACCAACTGCGATAGAAACCCATCACGTATCCAATCATTTGTAGTAAGAATATGGCGAGGAGACACGCGGCCAGAAGAATGATACCGCTACTTTTATCAGGAGTTAGAGCCAGTACAATGTGAAGGATTGCTCTTGATAACAGGAGCACCCCTACCCAATAGCGGTGTTTGTCTTTCAACGGACCGTAATAGGCATCCATGAATGGCTTGATTCGGAACATTGCACGAGATATGAATCGATTATTGCTCCGTACTAGCCACTGGCCTAGTAGTAAAGTCAGGGTGTAGGGAACACACAGAAATATGAGTACAGCCACAGCCACAACGAGCAAAGGAAGGTGCTTGGCTCCAAGATAATCAATGTCACCATCCAGTAACCACAGAATTTTCGTGTAGTTTGAGTATTCAACAGTAGAGTAGGATATGATGGCTATGCAACTACGTAGTAGTTTGTTGTAAGAGAGCAGAAATAGTGTGGGAAGAACAGAGACTGCATTGGAGCCAATTATCGTTGCAGCTCTGTTGCTGTATCTTGCCAACACTACGACAACTCCTGCGATGGTCCAAATGTACAGAGGAAAAAGGAACTGTAGCCACATCTTCCAGTACTCAGTGAGACCATCAAAGAAACAAGACTCGATGCCCAAGTCAAGGTTGGTCCAAGAAACGATGATAGTCAGTACATTGTTGTGGCCCCGCGGTCTCAAAACGGCCCAGCTAGACTGAATGATGTTGAAGTACAAGGTCAAACCGTTTATGTATCCACCAGAAACTGTGATATCCAGAGTTTTAATGGCAAGCACCAACACAATACCGGCAAGTGCAACGGGTATAAGCAGAGAGAGGTACTTGTTGGAGCAACGCAGACACCTGTGACTCCCTAGGACAGCACTTAGACCTTCCCGGCATCCCCCGCAGAGAACACCAGAATGGTTGTAGTTGCACTGGACATCAAGATCATCAAGAGATACATTCTCCTCAGTCTCTTTGCAGAATAGCAACAGACAGTACTGTGACACTGCCAAGTGTTTGTCTTCATTCAGTCCAATCCAAGAGGCACCACTTCTCTCAAACGTCTTGTTCTCTATGTAGCACTTGACTCCAGGGAGCTTCCGTAGCTGTGGACTACACACGCATTGGTATGGAGGCTCAGAGAGACTGAATCCAAGTGGACATGGTTGGACAGAGATATTGATGTAGACAGGAAAGTCAAGCAGGTCTTGTGGGAATAGTCCATTGCCATTCTGGAAGGCTTTGTATTGTTCTAATGCACTGTGGACACTGTCATTGCTCACAACTTGTACTTGTGCAGTCTCCACAGCAGTCAGGACCAGAACTGTGCTGTGAGTGGGAGCTGCGAGGATGGAGTAGGTGAGCTGATTACAGTGAGTCTGAGCCACCGACTGGCTGTACTGCCACTGCTCCAGTCTGCTGTCTTCATCATCAGAGGACAGGAATTGACCATAGACTGAGCCGGCCCCTGCCCCAAAGTCTTGCCCCACCACAGCTGCTGGCAGGGAAATGCTCTCTCCTGGATACATCATGTGATTGTAGAAGATTGTCAGACAGTCGGGTTGACCAGTGGAGTTACAGAGGCACACTCTTGAAGGCTGAGAGGAAATGACTGACATGGTGTTTGTCTGGTTTATCACAGAGACTTGCTTGAACTGTGTTAGACAGTTTGAACCATAAGCGGCAGTGGCTAACCCCATGTGACCACCATACACCACATCACCACCATTACCAGCCGAGTTGTTGATAAATATGGGACCATTTCCCAGGAACTGAAAACTGCACACCGAACAGAGCGTGATAGTTTCAGAATTTTCAGAGTCCACCTCGTAAAAAGTGTTGGAATCTACATAGACGGCACCGCCCACAGACGTAGCGTGATTACCAATAAACAGGAGGGACGAGTTTAGAGCCAGCTTAATGACACTCTTCTGCTGTAGGATCATAGCTGCTCCAAGAGGTGCTGTGTTGTTGGAGAATGTCACAACACCAGAGAAAGTCACATTCGAACCGACTGCCTTCATTGCTGATACTTTATTCTCAGTGAAAGTGCAATTTTCAAAGTTAACATCTCTCGATTGGTAGAGCACTGCCACTGCTGGATGGTCTGTTGTGTCACTTACAGAGTCATAGAACTCCTTGAAGCATGTGTGTTTCACTGTAACACTACTGCTTCCATACACCAAAACAGCAGGCTGATTTGTCACGTTTCTGATACAAATACCATCAAGAACAATATCGTAACAGTTCTGGATGGAGACTGGGGCATTTGTGACCACATTTTCAATTGTCGCATTCCTTAAATTGTTTAGATAGAGAGCACTGACAGAGCCTTGTGTGATTGTCAGATACGTGTCCTTTATCACTGTATGACTAGCATTGAAAAGCACCATTCCCGTACCGGATGTAGTCATGTTGAAATTCACAAAGGAAGTCCCCCAAATGTTTGTTCCCCAAATTCCACGATCTGCGACTGTCACATTATGAAACAGAGTGTAGAAAACAAACTCAAGCTCAATGCACAGAATGGGGCACAAGCTCATTCTTGAGTTACGTATGGTTGTGTTTCTCGTAAGATTTACCAAGTATATAGCCTCTGCCTCCATAGCAATGAAATGAATAGAGTCTATTACTGTGTCAGAGCCTGCTACAATATGTATGCCATTGTCACCACACCTGTGGAGTGTCCCTTTACTCACGGACACGTCGTGTGTTTTTTCGAGGCGAATGCAGTGGCTCTCTGCTTCTGAGACCTCCACATATTGAACACTCATATTTGACACCTGATACACTGTTATTGCTTGCCTACAAGAGCTAACAACAGTCAGGTGTTGTAGCAATATGCCACGGGTATAGTGTGCATGAATACCCACAAACTTCAAAGTCAAATTCAGTAGAAATGCTCTAGTAGAGTCACGTAGGAGAATACCTCCACACAGAAAGCTGATATATTTACATCTGTCCCCGTATTCTTCTAACACACTCTCCTCAACACTGATAGACACAGAGACACTATGTACTGTGAAGGTATCACTCCCGTAGAAGCTAATTCCACTTATTGACGAGGTGGTATTGGATTTGACCGCAATGATTTGAATTCCTTGAACTGTAGCTTCACTTGTGTTGTAGAACTGCATGGTAGAACACTCCTGACACACACCACCTTGCGGGCACTCACACAGTTTTGTGGAATTGAAAACAATAAGTGGGTTGCAGCTATGGTGTTTGAATAGGATAGCTCCTAATAGTCACATTAAATGCATTAGTAATGAGGACTGGTGACGATATATCGTGAGTGCCACTCAGTAGCCAAAATACAGAGTTGTTGTTGGACTTGAAATACTGATCACTGGCCTTGATATACTGAGATAGAGTGAGACATGGCTGGCCGGGACAAGAGCTGTTGGCCGGTTGAGTTGGCCTCACAAAGTAGCCAGATGCTCCACACACCAGAGGTGCTGCTATGTTGGAGACGTGAAGGAAGAGTAACAGAGGCAGCCAATTCATGCTTGGGATTTCAACGCTTTATAGCTTGAGTAGAGAATACTGAAACTTCAAAGAATTCAAGTTGCAACTTAGTTTCAGCAGCCTGTTTTATACCCTCTGTGTGAAACTTGTTCACAGGTTCCAAACATGGCAAGGAAAAACAAGTCGGTCTGCACAGGTGGGTTGGCTTGTCACGAAAACAATCCTAAAAGTAGTCTATTTCCTCTTCTCCTCCAGCTGGTGCAGTAGACGTTCCCACACCGCTTTTAGCAGTATTGCACAGCATTCGTGTTTACAAAGGAATCACACACAAGGTGTGGTTTTCAGTTTGTTGTTTATTTGGTAGCAAACATGTGTAGTAAGATCTGTGATAAAAGTATTGGTAGCATGCCAAATACTCACGAGGATGCTACATATGTAGATCACCCAGAGTAACACAGAGAGCCTGTATCACATGTACATGACACATGTATCAGAGCCTCTAGATCCCTTTTGTAGGAATGGCACAGGCTCATGGGATCATCCGTGTGTATTAAAAAAAGCCTCTGAACTCTGTAAAGATTCGAAACACTATTAATACCTCATCGGGTGATTATCTTCTTAATTGTTCTTCTTTATTTTACTAACATTTCTGTAAAATAAACGGGATGTAGGGATGTCACTTAAGAAGGGGGAAAAGAAGATGACAAGACAGAAAATCGTTCATTGCCACACCCCCCTCCTGGCTCCGCCTCATCCCCATATCTCGATCTGTGTGTGTGCTCATTACCCACACCTACATAATTAAGTTTTATCTTGTTCGTGTATGCATGATACCCACAGAGCAATAAATTGTGAACTATCAATCCTCTGAATGTCTACATGAACTGCAAAGAATTAGGGATGGACTTTCTGTCTCGTTGTAGCTAAGTGTTTTTTGCTGTTCCCCTTCTTTTTATGAGGTGACATCCTTATATCCCTTTCATTTCAGGGAATTATTCTTCCACTTGTTTCACTCAATGCTAAAAGTTGTGTAGATAGATAGACACATAATAATACTTTCATGCATTCACACTGGTGAACCCCAGTGAGAGACCCTGCAGTTCTCATAGCTAGATCCAATCCGATGTAATCTGAGATAGAAGGTGATGCTGGGCCCCAACGCGTAGTTATAATGAAGTCTACTATAATGAAAAGCACTGAAGTACAAACCCTCCGCGAACTACGCATGCGCGGTACTGCTAATTGATGGGCTGGGCTATTCAGTATGCGTTTACTCGCAGTCTCTCCCGCCAGTAGCTCGCGGAGAGTCTTACACGGGCTAGCTACAGCAGTAGATAGAATGCGGGAGTCGATACACGCCCTTCGTTGTGTCTTCTTGAACCTCCTAGGTACACAGAACGAGCGGATCAGGTCGCAGTAAGTCAAGTGCGATTATGCATATTGGCGATTTCACAGCATAATCTCTCGAACGCAGTCGTTTCAGGATAATCGCCTCTATATTTTTCAGGCTCGCGTAGTTCTGAAGCCGCTGCTATCGCTAATAGGCCACCTCGTCGCCTGTAGTGCCAGAATAAGCGTCGACAGACACCCAGACAGACAAACCAACTACTGTAACCCTCGCGGCGCATGCGCGCCGAGGGTTAATGACTTATTCTGGCGGGGCACACAGTTTTACGTGCGCTATAGGTCGCGAGAGAACTACGCGGCGTAGCCTGCGAGACAATCTGAACACTTAACCAGTCGGCAGAAGCCAGCAATGTTGTTTCAGATTGTGATCACACTGGGAGTCCTCGCCCAGGTCGGCGTATTTGCCATCGACGACCGAATTCTGGAGCGAGCTTCTAATGGCACCTCCGTAGTCCTGCTCACAGTGGCCTACCTCCAACAAACCACCATCTTCTCCGACGACAACGGGATGCTACGCCGAATCGCCTACGTAGAAACGAGGGACGGGGCAAGACTCAGCGATAATATTTGGGCTGTGAGCGAGGAGGGGCTGCAATTGACGCAGGCTTCCGACCATCCGACTCTAAACGTCAAGCACAATCTCATTTCCCGAGAACTGGATATAGACTGGATCGCCGTGGATTGGGAGGAACTGCAGCGACCACTGTACTCTGCCGTGGCAGCTCGTCTGCTCCTCTTCCTCGCTCCGGAACGGCTGCCAGATGTGAACGATATTGATGGTCAAGCTGCGTTTTGGAAGAAGTACTATAACACAAATGGATCAGTGAGTGAATTTACTGGAGCCTCTTTTGAATTGGAAGGTGAATAAATTGATACCAAAGCTATTGTAACACAGCATTGATGGGACTCCACTAATAATAAAATTCAATGCATGTGGGTAGGGAAGCTATGCCATAGCTTGGCAATTATTTTACAAACGCTACAAAAGCATAATCGACATCAGCAAAATATTACATTGACTACGTATGTGTTGATAAATGCACCTTTCTCCTATGGGATAACTTCATGGTCTTGCAAAGTCGAAGCTATATATGAGACTTGCTAGACCATGAAGTTATTCCATAGGAGCAAGGTGCATTATCAGCACATAGTCAAAGGCATTTATTACATATTGCTGTGTTGGTTATTGTGTGACATGCTCAACTGGTTATTGCAACATGCTCAACTGTCTATAAATATTCAGGGTCCTGTTCATTATTCATTCCAACTCTCCCATGAATTCGAATTGCCCGAGTGGGAGAGAATGACACTTTTCCATAATGATCATTGTCTCAGCTCTGGTTATGACTGTGTGCTATATATTCAGTGGGGAGAAAAGTATGACCACCTAGTTTTCCGAATTTAGGTGCTCTTTACAGTCAAGAAAGAGCAAAAGTAACATGCAGACTGCTAGCTACTGATGTGCCTCATTCCCAGGCATCTTTGAAAATTTCCTGGTACCTTTAAGTAAGAGATAATGTGCGTTTAGAGTTCTCATAGGTCTCGAAGGAGTAGGTGGACTATGAATATTAATAATCGGGACTCAATATCGGGACACATACGCGCGAACAACCAAGTGCGCATGCGCGTATGGTTCAGTTCAGGACCCGCCCCACCCGCGATCGCTCGCCGGTTACGAGTCTATGCTTGAAGCAACAGTACATTGACATATTATACGCAGTGCTAAAGAGTACCGAGTACCAGAGTCCAGTTGTCCATGATTCGTTGCTCTGCTGCAAACCGTTTTTTTTTCACTACCGCGGAAGTACCCCCGAGAAATCGGGACAAGCAAGGTGATGGGCGGGACAAGGCTGTGAAAATCGGTACTGTCCCGCCTAATTGGGACAGTTGAGACCTTTTATGGGAACGAGGGGTGTGGTCGAGAGACTCATACAGCACGAGGCGCAGCCGAGTGCATGCCTCGAGACCACAACCCGAGTTCCCATAAGTCATGTATAGAACGATAGGACGCACATTATGTGTTTTATTGTGACTTTGTAGCAGTCGTCGACCTCGAGCGAGAGAGATTCGACTGCGTAGCCTATGGAATGCCGTTTCCGCCAAAAGTAAGGGCTCTCCGCTTGTCAAAAATCGATCTCCAAATCGATCACTTACATTTTTGTGGGGAAAATCCTTCTCTAAATCGATCTTTCACTCTATTTTTTGCTCTAATCGATTTCGTAATCGATCTCGCGAAACACTCTTCAGTGTGCGATGCCGCTACAAAACTCCGCGGACTACGGATGCACGCGACATTGATTGATTTGGTCTGTGATCTGATTGGTGTCTCGACTTCTTGTGAACACCCCTCTTTTTCTCGCGAGGCACGCCGGTTAGCTTAGACCTCGATCTACAATCAGATCGCAGAACGGCCAACAACGTCATTTGCATCCTTAGTCCGCGGATTTTAGTGGGCTTGGCATCACGGACTAGAAGCTTCGCGGATACTACAGATATGACGTCTTTAGGACCGGTTATACGTCAAACACACACGCTTCTTGAAGCTAACGCGAGTAAATACAACGAAAATCGAGTAAAAGATCGATTTAGAGATCGATTTTTGACCAACAATCGAGTACGTGATCGATTTGGAAATCGATTTTTGACCAAAAATCGAGTAGCTACGTGATCGATTTGGAGATCGATTTTTGACAGGCGGAGAGCCCTTACTTTTGGCGGAAACGGCGTTCCATACTACCCATGCGCACGTGCGCACTCGCTGGCTTCTCGAGCGAGTTCTCTGTTCTCGAGGCTACCGTAATCGAACAAGGTCGTGATGGTGGCTCTTTCTCCCTCAGAGAAACTCGTTTCATAGTTCGCTGGGCCGTTTGACCGGTCGGTGTGCCGCGGCCGCGGTCTCGCTTGCCGCGCCACTGGGAGCTGAATGAAGGGGTGTGGTCGCCTCAGCCATCCCTCGCCTCTACAGCCACTACAAAACAGTCATCCCTCGCCTCTAAAGCCTCTACAGAACAGTTTTTGTCTACACTATGGGTACGATGCTGATGCTAGTTCTATATTGAACGCGTGCTATATACAATACGGGAAATAAAAGTATGCGCGGCTACTTTGATCCGCCCACGCAAGTCACAATAAAGATAAGATAATGCATTGTTGCATGGGCCCACGTGCCAGATTGGATATGTTGGCACAGTTGTGACATATTATTATGCAGCCCTCGGGCATTACGTCACAACCTGGTCAAACGTAGCCCATGGGTCACGAGGGAAAGCCTGTTGCCTTTACATAGCGACTAGCTAGCTATCCACCTTCCCAGCAGCCTATTGCAAGTTTTGCCAAGAGGGAAGCCTAGGCAGCTCTCTTAGATCACTGGATAGGCAAGTGTTCCACAGTGGTATATACACCTCGTTAGCTAACCCTCGGTGCGCATGCACGGCGAGGGTTACAGTACTTGGTTCATGACTGTCCATCTGTCGTTTTCTGCCACCATGCGCAGGAAATCGGCCAAAGAGCGATAGCAACGGGTTCAGTGCTACACTGGCTCGAATTGTAAATTACAATTTCTTTCCCGTAAAGAATGTATGGGGAGATAAAAGAGCGTGCTGTAGAAAAACCAAGCGGTATTCGGAGACGATTGCAACTAACTCCATATTGTAATGAAAGCACTAAAGTGCAAAACCCTAGGCTCAAAAATGCGCACGTTTGTGGTTTTGTAAGCTAGGTGGGCTATTTCAAAGTGGATCGTATCAAACAGTTATTTTGCTTAACAGTGTTCGTATTAATGAGGTTCCACTGTAACTACAAAATTGAATATAAGATGAACAAATTGGATGAAGGGTATCTGCTATGAGTTCATTAGTGCTTATCAGAGTAACCAAATGACATGTTGTTGCAAGTATGCAGTAACACAGTTCAGCTATGAGCGGAGCATTATTGTGCATTGAACATGACGGGATGGAGTGTCTGTGCTTTGATAATATATAGCTCAGAGGGATCCTTCAACGTAGAAATGAGAGTTCTTCTTTAATCCTGTCATGTATGAGATATTTGATGGATAGCCTGTATAGGAGGGATGGTAATACCGAATTAAATATAAAATTGGTCAAGTGATATACATAGAAACATAGCACTACTCCATAGTGACTATGTATACCACACTCAAAGGCTCTCACATTCGCTTTTTGCATTCTACTGTGCTTCGTTGCTTGGGATATATTGCCAGACTGGGCTTTACGCTTAGATGGGAAGGCATGGCCGCATCCACAAACTGCTCGTCTAACGTGAACTGCTGTGCTACATTGCGGACATACCTTGCTCAGTTTGTTGTCCATCGAGAACAGAGATCAACACTGACAGAGGAGAGAAACTCAAGAACCGCTTGCTCGTCCAAGGTCAACTAAAATAACCACGTGGCATCTCGCAGATGCGCATGCTCCGGCAAACGATATATAGCTACGCAACATACGCGCGTGCGCGATGGATCGCTCGCGTCTGATGCTCCGGCAAACGGTATACACCCACATACGCGCGTGCGCGATGGATCGCTCGCGTACGCTTTTTCGCTTGTTTTCACGCCATATCTCTGGAACGCAGTCGTTTCAGGAAAATCGCCCACATTCATAATCCATCTTCTCGTTGTTCACAACCCGTTGGTGCCACTCATTGGCCGCCTTGTAGCGCTGTGTGCGAGAACTCGCGCGGACAGACAGACAGACAGAATGACGAACGACTATATACCGTACCCTCGCTGGCATGCGTCGCCGAGGGTTAATACTATAAAATCCAGTGATCCCCTACCGCTCGGCAAGTTATAGTGAAGAATACTAATAACTCTGTCACATTCACAGCGTGAGCCCTAGAGCAGCTAAATGCACGTACCTTACTTGATCTGATACCAAAAAAGGAAAAAAATCCTTTTTACCGTGTTTCAAACGAATTCTCCGTATGTGTTGTCAACAAACTTCGAGCATGTCGTCGTACGCGCTAATTGGAATTCTTGTAGCGATTCACGTCAGACCTCCTCCTCTGAGCTGACGGCACTTAATAATTCGCCAATGTCCTAAGAATAACATGGACCGGATCCGCTTGCTCTGTGGATATTGAAGGCACAAGAAGTCCAACAACAACGACTCCGCATTCTATCTATACTGTAGCTATATAGCCGTGTCAGACTCTCCGCGAGCTACTAGCGGGAGACCACGAGTAACGCGTACTTAGCCCAGCCATCAATTAGCGGTACCGCGACGGCGTGCATTCGCGCGACGAAGGTTTTGCACTTCATATTGTTCTAGTGGAGGCACAAACATTCTTTACTGCAGGTAATGTTCTGGAAAGTTACTCGTCAGAATTCTTTGTGGCTTTGGCAGAAATGATGCTGATGGAAAGAATCACCAACTCTGAGATTGTTCATTTCATCCATTGAACCAGATCCCGTGCTAGTCACTGTCGAGACTCACAGAGGATTTAGCTTCTCTGGGTTCGCTACCAACACGAGACTTTGTCAGTGGAGATACCAAACACGTTTCAGGTTTTCTCAAGCGACGAGCGAGATAAAGGGATACGGGTCACAGCTGATGGCAAAGCAGCATTGTAGTTTACGGTTTGAACTATGACCATGTACATCTGACGCTTTCCTGGCCCTCCCCTGCGATCGCCTCCCAGTGGACCAGTATGAATACTATGGTGTGTCATACTCTGGTGGGGGCATGGACTGAGTCACATTTTGATTGTGGCCTGTGAGAATGGCACAGTTTTCAAATAGGTTCACGGGTAGTGAGATAAACCAAATGGAGTCTTACTTTTGGAGAGTGATAGTGTGACTGGAACAGGTGTTATTTCAATAACCGGCTGGTGAATGTATGTTGAGACATAGATTGTACCGATAGCCCCTTTTCTTATTCGATAGTGCTGTGTGACCCACATCACGGAGCAAGTGTGCCGCCACTGCCATGTTCTTTTTACTATGGGGAACATACTCAATGAGTGCGTCTTATGCAGGCAGGGCCGCAGGTGACCTCTACGCGATACTGGCATCTCAAAGGTGCCTACTGCAGTGACTGTGAACTGTAGTACTCTCAGTGCAAAGTGCTGTACATACAAATCCTCGAGAACTGCTGGCTCAGTAGGCAGAATCAGGAAATTACAACTCCTGACAAAGGCTTCTGTTCCATTAAACCATGTGACAAACCCTGTACCGTGTGATGCAGTTTTGGGCACTGGGAACAAGAAGATGGGATGGGAACGTCATGATGATGATCACTACCAGATTGAAGCATACAGTAACAACTATGTTTGTCAAGGTCTTGCCAGAGTTTGAAATCACTATATAACACTCGTAGTGTGACGTTGTCGCGAGGGACTTGCAAGCCAGAGAGCATTTTGGTTGATGACCCAAGGACACTCTTGAGAATCCACATGGGTTGCAGTCTGTACTGCTCCAGTAGCTGATATTTGTGGATACATAACAAACCATTTCTCTCTGCTGCCGTGGAGAGACACCAACTCTATCATAGGGCAGATTGTCTCATCGCAATTGGTTGTGTCCTGCGTATGGGTTCATTTCAACCATGCTAACTCGTATGTAGGGATACACCTGATGGAGGATTGCATACGTAGCGCCAGTTCAGTGTTGTAAGCATCCCATAAAACTATGTAACTTCTTGTTACCTTCACTACTAAAACAGGTGGCAAAGACTAAATAATTTATGCATTTAACGGAACATAGCTAAGCCTTTATAATTTTCTCTCTTTGGTTTGTTACAGTGGCAACCATCGTTCTCGCAGCAGAAATTTACAGTTGCTTTGAAAAAGAAGAGTTGCAAGAGTGAACTTTTGCGATCCGGTGACATTCAAGGGAGGGGGCAGTTGTTTTCATTG